CTACAACCCATGTCTAAGCAAAAGCTTGTCGAGGAGCGAGGGGAAGAAGGGAGAATGTATAGCACAACAAAACATTCATCCATTTACTGGTCTTTCGAGTCATACCACATTTTTCACGGACGTTGGAATGACAATGGTTTACGTCGGCATTTTTCGTTCTATTTCGAATTATTTGTAGCATTAATTTTCCACGGACGAACTGTTCCGCAAATGTTTGAATGAAAGTAGGACGTTCGGATTTTCCGTCACGTCGCAACATTTACTCTAACCTCTTTTTTTCCAGCTTTGTGCCCTTGATACACGGGTGGCCAACACACCGGGTTGTGGGGGCACTTTTGCCAACCTCCACCTTCAATTATTTTGGCACGAGTAGGCCGAGTACTCGTAATCGGCGCGCACCATATGTTGAACTGGAACCCACCTGTCTGTACGATGTTGTTGCACCGCGAACCTCGGGACAACCAACAAGAAGAGCCCGTTTCCCCCTTATCTCTCTTTCGCGATCATCATTTTTTTCGACCCCGTTCTGGTTTGAATAAGAGACAAAAAAATCGCGCTCGAAAGTAATTCCCGGAGGGAAAATAACCCGTCGGCTACACTTCTATACGTTCGAAAGAACGAAGTACTTCCAAGCTTGTATGTGGGCATATCGTCCGTAGGGCGCACTCATTTTTTTGCATGAAAGTGTGGTAGTGCGAGGTTCCGGTCTGTCTACGGACAGCATAACGTACGTATGAACAGGAGGGGGGGTGGAACGAGACCTTCACCGCCGACTAAGTACACATACGATGTTACCGTAGCAGAAAGGCCATGTTTTGTCCAACGCTTTTATTTGAATTGGGTCGAGCAATAATCCACATTGTGTAAATCAATACTGCTTCTCACGTCGGCCAAATGGTAAATACAGCCAAACAAACAGTCAGCGGCGCCAAAACTGACCAAAACCAAAGGTAAACATGCTAAATCTGACTCCAGAACGTCACACATGCTGGGAAATATGGTCGAAGCAGACAGCAGTCCTTGCCTAGAAAAGTACGGCAGGATCTTGAGCACAAGAAGAGGAGTACAAAAAATAGCTGCACACACACAGACACAACGCACGGAGACTGACGTCTTTTCATTGGTCAGCCGGTTGGCGTGGTCGATGCTAAGAAACACACACACACACACACACACACACACACACAGGTTTGTACACGACAGGAGCCCAGAGCCAAACTATCACGAAGAAAATAAAGGCAAGGATCACAGCAAAGAGGGCTAACGGTGGTGGTGCCACCTGTCTATCCAGCTCCTGCGTTTCCCACCCACCCCCACACAAGCACACCCTCCCCACACCCTATTCTCCATGGTCTTCTCCTTCTCCACCATAAGGTATTTCGCACGGAGGAACCTGTCGTTGTCATTGCCACCATTTTGTCGCACACAAGCAAAAGCAGCAAAGGCAATCAGCGGAAAGCGCACGCGGTAAGTATGGGGGTTGGTCAATGTGGACTAAGGTCACCTGGGTGGGTCACCTGGGTGGGTCACCTGGGTGGGTCACCTGGGTGGGATTAAGGTCGGCGTGCGCGCTGTAGTACGTGCTCATACCATGAAATCGGACCACAAACACGCCATTCCGTGCCTCAAACCCAGTTTATGGTCGAGAATCTGGAAAATATACAAACGGAATCAGATACACACCTCAATACGGCTCTTCACCCCTCAGAACCAGTCAGCTCCCGTCGCCCCCCATGGACCTTCGACTCCCCCCGCATCTCTCCACCCAATATCCGGCCCGCCCTCCGACATGTCTAATCCCCAGTCGCTGAAGGCATCGCTGTAGTCGGACGCATCGGACTCCCACACTGGGATTTCATCCCGCGCTTCGTTTTCCTTCTCCTCCTCCTCCGCTTTCTCCTCCTCCCCCCCCTCCACCTTCGCTTCGGTCCCTGTCGAATCATCCGGCGCGGCGGCCTGGTGACTAGCGGCTGGTTGTTGACTAGCGACTGCCTGCTGACTAGCGGCTGCCTGCTGGGTAGCGGCCCTATACGCCAAAATATAGCGAAGGGCTCCGGCTACGATGGCAGATGTTGCAGGAACGGATGGTGTAGCATTAACGGAAGGTGTAGCAGGAACAGTGAACGCGGCAGGAACGCTGGAGGTAGCAAGAGCGATCCGAGCCTCAGGTTCCGACGTTCGAATAAGTTCATTGGTAGCCCTGCACACGCATGCCAGCGAGCATTGCCTTCCTGCTTCTCGACAGCCGCACCTCACGCAGATACTCTTCTTACCCGGGGCCGGTTTGCAACCACATTTCTCCTTTTGCATCTTGTTGTCGGTGCCGACGTAAGAATACTCAAGACGGTCATAGCACGCAATTTTCCACTATCATGTGCCCCAGGTTGGTCCCCCCCCCTTTCGCGCGATCCCCCATCCCTTGCCGTTGAAGTCTCTTACTGGTACAACCTCTAAACAGCCATGTTGCCAGTACCCAAGCACCTGATGGCCTCGCTCGCCCTGCTGGCGCATGGACTCGAACGCAGAGCACGTTGATGTAGCCCTTGAACCATGCTTGAGGATAAGCATCCGGATGACGTCGACGCAATGTGCGACATCCCCGCTGACCATGCGGAGAATCAGGGGGGTGCAGCAAACCACGTCTTTTGTCCAGGTTAGCCATGGAGCTGCGTGATTGCACACGATAATGAAACCACCCTGAAATCGAGTTAGTGGGTAGTCTTCAAGTTTGTAAAGCAGAGGTGCTCTTCTTCGCGGTACCACTCCGACCTGTCGGTGGTAGTTTCCAGATCAACACGTCCAAACCTGTAGTGTTTTCCTTCTACATGTGGCCAGCACGAACGGGTACGCCGAATCACACACGTCAAGAAACGTGGCAGTAGCAATTCAGAAGGGATCAAATGCTGAACTGGAAGGTTGGACGTCGATATTATAACGGCAAATGCAACACGCACTAGTATTGTGTATTGCGTTGTTGGGGCCTGTTTTCGACGTGCGTTACACCCGGCCGCGCACGTGCCTGCGGATGATTCGACTAGATACCAACACATCGTTAAGATCCACCGGTGGCATTTTGAGGTTTGACCTCAACATGGTTGGGGGTCTCTTACCCAAATGAAGTAATTCCTTTTGCAATTGCTGGGCATATGAGCTGAGTCTGTCTATCAATCTATGTTTAGTTGTGGCGTGCCAGCCTTGTGTTCACGCACCCGCGGCCGTACACACGCGTGCTCGTGGGTGCTGGCCGCCACCCGTGGGATCCAACAACAAGCTTGAGTTTTGACATCGTCATTCTGATGTGTCTCTGTACCAAATGGAGTAATTCCTCTCGTAATAGATGGATATGTGAGCTTACTACATAAAAACAATCAAGGTTTGGTTGCATCATGCCAACCTCATGAAAGTGCACCCACCACCGTAACACACGCGTGACTACGGATGCTGCCACCGCACCAGGGATCCAACAACAAATTTGAATTTTGATCTCTCCATGCTTAGATGTCTCTGGACCAAATGAAGCCATCGATATGATAATGACCGTCAGCGCGGCTGCCGCCCTATGATTGTTGAGCTCGTCTACCTTTGGGTAGGTGGTGGTCAAAGATGGGAGTTGCAACCGTGAAAAATGAGCTGGCAAACTGAAGAAATCGCAAGCAACACCTAGGTTGCGACACTCTGACCTGCGCCTGTTGTTGCTGAAACTGAAAACAGTAGGCCGGGTGGATAGGATCTTTCGAAGTGTGATGTCCTCTGTGTCGGGTGCTGCTCATTACCGCTGCTCTATGGTGAGCAACACCACGTCAACCTGTTGTGTGCCGAGCAAAGCGTGTATTCAGGGAAGGAAACGTACTTTTTGCGATGACATCACAAAAAGCATAAGCGAGAAAAAGTCGGGTTTTCTTTTCATCGTTCCGTGGGAAATTGCACGTCTTTTCCAATGCGTTAATAACGAGCCTTATCCTGAGAGCGAGGGCGCCTGTGGCGCCCGAGCCCGGCGGCCTTGTACTTCATACACATGTACTGTAGCCAAGTACAGTTGGCGCCCGTGATAGTAACGTTAGAAAACACCTTCGAGAAACAATGACTGAGACTTTGGAGATAAACAAGAATAATCGACAATATAAGTAGAATCACGCCTCAGCCGTTGGTCCTACATATGAACAGACTAGTCCACACTCTAGAAGAATACAAATGACCTATGCTAGACGGTGGTGACGAAGAAATTGAGCCTCGACCTGACCACCAATTGGCGTTTCTTACAAGCGGCCGCAAACTGCACACGAGATGGCCTCCTAACTGTGTTGTTGAGGTGTTACCCACAGGGGAGATAACGAACGCTAATACTCCTATATACTTCTCGGGGAACAGTAGAAATACAAGTTGGTCATCACACAACACTATCATCCCGAACTCTTATCTGTAGAAGAGATATGAATTCGTCGTCTTTTTGAATGCAAAAGAAACAAAGACAGAGAACTGCAGTGGACTACCTGGTATGGACCAAGTATCCTGTCTCTACCTGGAGTATATCCTAATTTACGTACATGACGTGCGCCATCTCGCTGGGGTGCCAGGTGCGCCGAGAGAGAGACAGTGACCCGATCAAGACCGAACGTATGATGAGACGGGGCAAGCTACTAGTCCGTTTCGCGAGGTAGGAGCTAGAACAGAACGTAAGTGGTACACACAGGAGGTTGTGAAAGGTGCAAGGGGTAGACCACTGAACGCATTGGAAGCACAGATTGCCGGCCCGCTCGTGGGAAAGAGTTGCTGTGAGCATGAGGCTCACATATACTGTAACCGTTCTACTTAGCGGTAGTGAGCATACCCTCTCTCTGTTACGAGTAAGGGTCCCTGCAGTGGTAAATAACCGTTCATCAACGGAGGTGGAATCGCTCTTCTAGTAATGTGGCGAGGAAGTGCCAAGCGTAGCCGAGAGTCTCGGCTTAGCTACTTCAAGGAAGGTGGAAGGTGTGAGAGTGAGGAACGTGGGGCGCTTTCGCGTCCATTCACATCTCCGAGAGTCACATGAATAGTCACGGTATTCTGTGAATCTTTCCTGGCAAACTTCTTCGGACGGTAGAACATTGTTAATGTAGTCCGACGATCTTTGCTGGTCGCATGTGCATCATTACACCTAGACTAGGAAGATACTTATATCCTGGTTTCCACAGTAGAGGGTTTTTTCAATTATTGTACTTTGGATGGCCGATTCGCGGCGCGTGTTGTGATTCCTAACATCACATATGTGACTAGTACACGGGAAGGGGTAGACCGTAGGAATACTTGAGAAGAAGGGGCGGCGGGATTCCTCTGGCGTCAACAATTAACGCCGTAGAAGCAGATGATACCTTCTGCGTGACCCCGGAATGGGCAATTAACGCCGTAGAAGCAGATGAATCCTTCTGTGTGAACCCGGATCGGAGCTCCTAACTGTAAACGACGTGCGGGGTACGTAGACACACATCCTGCGAGAGACACAGGGAAATGCACAAAAATGGCGAAGAAAACGAAGGACTAGGTGGTGCAGCACGGGAATACCAAAATCGAATTTCGAAGGAACGCTCAGCTGTTTGATACTTTCGAACAAGGTGCTTTCTTGAAGCGCATCGCAAGAACACTCAATGGTACGCACGGTGTGCGTAATAATTGTTTCAGGGAGGGTCGACTGCGGGACATGGACCAAGTCTCGAGTAGCTGTCCTCGTGGGGAAATACTCGCGTGGTTCACGGTGCGAATGTTCAAGGAGGCGTGCACGCACAACCGCTTGCAAACGGTAAGGGAAAGGAAAGAGAGTGGCTGGAAACTGTCACACAAGAAGGTGTAGACGCAATCGACTGACGGGGGGCTTCTCCTTCGACATCAACGCGCCTGTGACTCGCCGTAATGACATTCCTAGTCGGTACTGATGCTGTCGGACTGGCCGAGTGTGACTAGTATCCCACCATTGGTTTCGTTGTGGTGCACAAGGAGACACACACGTGACCATGCTTTATCGCGTCAATTAGGAGAGCTAGCGGTTAGCGGGCGGGAAATAGGTGCCGGACTTGCGACGCAACTTTTGCCAGTCCTCATTGCAACGTTTAGCTGAAGCCCAAGCAGGAGGCAACTATTAATACCCAAAACCAATCCAGAGATTGAGCAGGGGAATCCCCAGCAACGCGCATAAGTGGGTTTCTCGGGATAGATCGACGTTGGCGGGAAGTTTCTCAACGTCGGCGTTGTCGTCATGGACGGAGAAACTTCATCAAGCGCCGGCGGTTCTAGCAGCCCGGATCTGTCTGCGTTAGGTTGTGATCGCTCATTCGCTAATGTCATTTCCAGGATTGGACCGGATGAGGCGTCCCAGTGGGGGGGCTTTCACATGCGTTGAAGCTTCACGCCACACGCACCACCGTCGTTCTCCTCTGTACCGGCGCTAGGAGCACGCCCAGCCATGCGCTCCCGTCGTGCTGTCCTCAGTGTTCTGGTTGTTCACAAACATGCTAGCTCGGTGAACGTATCAATATGTACGATGTCGCAGATGAGATTCATGGTCGATCATGGTCTTGATGTCGAATTCCACGCCGTTCTGGAGGCCGTGCACTGGTTGGTCGACGGGTGCGACGAAGAGCAAGACGGAATGGACGTTGTTCCGGCGATCGATTTCCTGGTGACGGAGGCGGGCATGCCCCCGGATGTGCAGGTAGGCGTACGGCCCCCCGACGCACGGGGGCATGCGCGCTAGTTGTCAAGATTGATTTATCGTAGCAAGCTTGTTGTGGGTTATCTTTTTTCTAATGTAGCAGGCGTAGGGGTCTTATCCTCAGGCCAGACGAATTTCCGGCTCACACCCCCTGCGAACTCCACCTGGCATTGACTACAGAAATCCAAATATTTGTTTTCGTTTTTTCGTGCGAACTGCCTGAGCGTTTGGTTGTTGAGGTGTTGTTGATGTCCCAGGTCAGGAGCAACTCTGACTTTATTCCTTTTTCGATGGTGCTAGCATGGTAAATCAAAGTATGACAAATTTCGTCTACTCGGTGCCCAGAGAGGTACGTGCGCGTCCGAAGAGCCGTCACCCCGTCACTGATGTCATCCACGTTGCTCGGATCTAGTCACGGTCTAACCTCCACCTCCTCGATGTGCACTTCTCTTGACAAGGGTGCGCAGGTACATCACGTCGCCGGCGTCCACATTCGACATCGACTCGGGACAATACCTGAGCAGATCATCGCCCTTGTCTTTCTATTGCTTGTGTACGCTTTCGGAAGAAAATAAGTTGAGTCGGCGGGACACGCACCCAACTACACTACTATTGTCTGTGTCTACATACATATCCAGAGAAAGTCGGACTTCCGCACCCCGCTGCACGTGGCTGTTCGAAGAGGGCTCTTCGAGGCAGCTCGGCGGCTGATCGAGCTTGGAGCAGACGTCAACGCCGTCGCAAAGGTATCCCATGCGCCAATCATTGCACGAGTGCTCAAGTTACTCCCCCACGGACGCCAAGTTGACGGCGTGCGGTTGTACGGTGAAGTACGAGAGCCACCTACCCACCCACCCCGAGGATTTTGCATAGAAGTGGATTATTGCCGTTGATTTTCAGAGCCAACCCAAAGGCTATCGGCTTTCGCGCGGGGAGAGGTAGGGCTTCCATTTTGAGCCGCCGTGGTCAGGGCTGTCATCTCACACCTCAGATGGCTCCCCTAGGCAATGCCAAGGTAAGAGTGAGAAACGGTCTGACACGACATCAACACACCGTCTGCTGGGGCGTAATTCTACGATATTGACCCTGGAGGTTGTCGGTGCATTCTCGAAGAAGATAAGGACCGCCAGCCAACCCGCGGGCCAGTCACACCTGGTGTCGTCGTCGTCGTCGTCTTTCGTGCAATTGTGGTTGCGTCGTTGATGAATATGTGTTCCGCGCTCGGCTTGCTGCGTCCGCTGCGACTGCAAGCTTTCTGTGTACTGCTGTGCCTGTCTCCCCTGCCCTTTTCCCCCTTTGCCCGCGATCGTGACTCGTGTCTCCTTGCTTGCTTGCTTGCTTGCTTGCCTCAGGGCGACGTGATGCCTCTGACTCTCGCGGAAGAACCGGCAGAAACGAACGGGTTTCGCGCAACCGACGACACCTCGCCCGAAGCCCGTGACGACGTCGGCACCGAAGGGCAGGCGGCCGAGATCGCGGCGGGAGCGTCAGCAGTGAACGGCTACTACTACCTCACCCGCAACAACGGTGCCCGGGACGAGCAGGGGGTGAGAGAGGAGGAGCACGACGTAGAGAGGATGTCACTGGCCGCCGAGAGGGGACGACAGTGCGGGGATGAGACGTCGCACGTCGGCGGCAGCGGCGGCGGCGGCGGCGGCGGCGGCGGCGGTGGTGCACGCTCGCCTTCTCCGTCGTCCCGTTCCCTGTGTCGCCGCCGCTGGTCGCGGGTGACGGCGAGCCGTGCGCGTATTTGCGGGATTCTGGTGGAAAGGGGGGCCAGGAGGGGCTGGAGGAGGGCCCCGAGCGAGGAGCAGGTTGCGCTGGACAAGAAGTACGCCGTGCTGCTGGAAGGCGACGACGGCCGCAACTTTTGCACGTTCAGCGGCTGACGACGGTGATGGCAAGAGGCTGCCGTCTTGTTGTGAATATCGCTCATGTTTCCAACGGAGACATGTAGATAGATGTGGATGGGGTAATACATAGTTGAGCCCGGGACGCGATGTTTGCTGATACGCCGTTCCTTCTTTTTTCGGCAAACACGTATCAAATATGTTGTGTTCGAATAAGCACATATTCTAGACTGCATGCGAACGAATGGGACAAATCTAACATCCACCAGCCGTGTTCGATAACGTAGGTCAGTTCTACTGTACCAGTTAACTCTCACCGCGGGTAACCTGAGCTAGGAGTAATCCGGAGTCAGCCACTCGTCCTTCTGCCTCAGAATATCTAGACAGATCATCCAAACAACCACCCTGCTGCGCCGTCCCATCAATGGATTCGAGGGGTAGACGATTGATAGTAATTTCGGGATTCTGCGTTCTCCCGTTTTGGCGATAGCCAACAACCTGTAAAGCAGCTACATTGACTTCATCTTCGTGCCCGTGAACGACAGCTATGTACATCTTCATGCCTACGTGAACGCCACTCACTCTCCTCTTCCACCTGCTGCTTGGTTGACATGGATGTATATTAGACTAGTCTATAGATGCTCAATATGCCAATACGTCAACATTAATGAAGGGGCGACTGCCGTTTCTTGTCTGTCTGTGTTGCATCCCTGCTTGACCTGGAACATGGGAATGTCTTGCGCAACTCGCAACAGAACATGGTACCATGTACAATCGATCCTCCTGCTGCTGCATGTATAGGCGTTGTTATTGTTGTTGTTCCTCACATTAGCTCTATAGTCCACAAAAATGGGGAGCCCGTGGTCTCAAAACCNGTGTTGTACATCAAGAATCCGTCGTCAGAATTTCGATCAGGATCGATGCGGCCGTGATACAGCTACGCACTGATATATATGCGCGAAAGCAGGGATAACCTGGAATTACTAGGAATTACACTGAAATATCCCCCCTCCCGCAACACTTTCTACATGTTGATTCAATCTCTCCTGACTTCGAATTAGGGTAATTTTGGGGTGGCGATCACAAATATATTGTTGGAATGTCCCAGTTTTGATTTGCAATGGACTTTCAGCTGCTCAAAAGCTGACAGTAGCTGAGCCATTTCAAAATTCCTGGGATTTTGGATTCTCGGTTCCCACGTCGAGTTTTTGTCTGATCAACTTTCTGAGTGACTCTACCCCCTCTAAATCGGCCAAGCGGAATCGATTGCTGAAGAGAAATGGAGGCGCCGAAATCGGCAACGCGGTGAAAAAAAACAATCAAGGCGATCCGATCACCACTTTTTTGTTTCTCTTTTTTTACGCTTTTAAACGTCGTTTGAGACAAGTATCCAAGAACGGTTTTTCATTCGAGTTTTTCCTCGCCGCGGGAGAGACAATTCGTCTTTACCGCGGAACACCCCCTCGGAAAAAGAAAACNGGCAACGCGGTGAAAAAAAACAATCAAGGCGATCCGATCACCACTTTTTTGTTTCTCTTTTTTTACGCTTTTAAACGTCGTTTGAGACAAGTATCCAAGAACGGTTTTTCATTCGAGTTTTTCCTCGCCGCGGGAGAGACAATTCGTCTTTACCGCGGAACACCCCCTCGGAAAAAGAAAACAAAAAGACTTATTTCTATAGATAGAGATGGATTTGTTGTGTGATATTAAGAAAATAAAAAAATAAAATAATAGAAAGAAAAGAGCAGCTACCGCACCGACCGTTCGCGAAAAGAGCCCTCGGAAACCGATCAAAATACACAAAAAATAAATAGACTATAGACTAGTCTAGACTATATTGGAGGACGCTTCCCACACCAGCCCAAAGAAAAAACCAAGGGTAACGTACCAGCACCAGGCACTACGCACCAGGGCATGGGAGTAACGGAGCCAACAGGACAAAGAGGCGGCAGATGGGCAGACAGCCAGACGTACATAAACAAAAGCAACTGCAAAGCGAGATCAAGGTACCCAACACAGCAGAGTAGGCAGGGAGGTCATGAAAGAAAGAAACACAGCACAGAGAGAGGCCGAAGGCAATAAAAAGTACATACATAGTCTAAAGGAGAATAGCATACAGCAGGGAGGGAAACTGGGCGCAACAACATCAGCCGGGTACATGGTTCGCCACAAGTGCTGCCTCGGCCGCCTTACTCGCTTCTACAGCAGTGCCCGGTCGCCGTTTCTTCCCCCCCACCACCGCTTCGCCGACTCTCNCTAGACGAGACACCCAGTCGCTCTCCTGCCCGCCCCGGTATCCCACGCCCCCCGCCATCGCTCCTAACTAACAGCATGCGCTTGGGGAGGCGGCTGTACTCCATGCGCATAACAAAGCCCGCGAAGCACAGTCTCCGTGGCCTCGATGGTTTCCTCGCAGCCTGCCTGGATGAGGGCCTGGGCATAGGACAGGGGGCGGTCTGAGCGTGCGTTTCCGCTTGCTCCAGCCGATGCACCGTGAAAGGAACTGGCGATGGGTCCCGTTGAGCTTCGTGTAGTGCTCCGCTCTTAGGCTCCACGAGGCGCACCCATACAGGAGAGTCTCCACCACTTCAGCCTGGAGTAGCCGGATCTTGAGCTGGCGGTTGGCCCGTCGCCTGTCGTACATCGAAGCACTGCTCTTCCGGCGGTAGCACTTCCACGCCCGGCAGCTGCGGCTCGTGATCTCCCGGTCGGCCTTCCCGTCCGCGGAGATGGTACGTCCGAGGTACACAAACCGATCTGTCTGCGTGTACGTCTGGCCGGCGGCGCTGACCGTGAACGGGCGTTCCTCGATCCCTTTTGGCAGCATGCACATGATCTCCGTCTTTGGCTCCGATGCCATCAGTCCGAACAGGCCGGCGTTTGTTGTTGTTTGTTGTTGTTTCTCACATTATTAGACTAGCTCTAGTCTATATATACACCACAAATATGGGGAGCCCGTGGTCTCAAAACCGGGCACATACGACGCCGCGGGGAAACAAAACAAAAATAGGGTACAAACAACTCGGAAAAAGAAAACATTGATATTCGAGCACAAATGGAGGGATGTACTGATGCACATGTCTTCCAAACATTTGACTTCGTTGGTATGTACCCTAATATCCCTGTAATACCGTTGAAGGAAAAATCGAGGGAAGCTTTGAAATTAATTGTCGTTTGAACACCAAGCTGAGAGAAATTGATTATCCTAATTGAAGTTGAGATATTGGGCCTGATAATAAGACACCATTTGTTAGAGACATCGAGTGGTCGAAGGAAAACCCGAGCAACGTAACATCTAGCAGAAGTCGAGCGAATTACATTGGATGGGAACGGGTCTGTAAATGGATAGATTTTATTTTGGATGAAGAATTTTGTATTATTTGGGAACGGCATGATGTATGTACCAACAAGCCTCTGGTATCTTTATGGGAACGGTACCAGCTCCCGAACTAGCGAATATTTTTGCGTTTATGCATGAATTCGATTTTTTGAAGGAAATGGTGTGGATGAGTATTTATTAACTGCTACACACGCTGGGACTACATCGTTGTATCCATTGGTACAAAACGGTATATATATAGATGACATTTTTATGGTGCGATATGGTAACCAGACTGGACCAACATTTGAAGATATTAGATCTATATATGTATAAGGAGGGTAATCAATATGGTGGTATGTACCCAACGATGGTGTTAGATTCGAATGGTGATGAGATAGACAACCCCGTTCGCGTTACCCAAGAACAGTGTGGGGAATCAGCACACTTTCTGGATATGCAAATAGGGCAAGACATTCCTGGTAAAAATTGTATCGGTATGTATAATAAGCGCCAACATATGGCTACGCTGAAGCAATATCGGGCATTCCCACATTGGGAAACAGTGTTATCTACTAGGTGTAAGATGTCGACGTTACACTGTCAAATGTGCCGATTTGCTATTAGATGTACTGACATTCGATTTTTCCAAGCTGCCACAGCCAGATTGATAGCTGACATGCTTGCACGTTTCTATTATTCTAGTCGACTTATTTATACGTAATACTTTACACAATTTCATGTATACCTTTTTTCGTACCTCGCCAGTGATTGCAAACATCATGGGTGTAAATGCACCTATGGTGCGGAATTCATACTGACTGGAAGAAAGTGGAGTTGGGTATTTGGAATCGAGTAGATACGAATGAATTTTTGGTAGATTAGCCTGCGTGCGACTATCTTTTCCTTCATTGGGTAGTGCCCCGTTTCTTTGTTGAGCAATTCCTGGAGTAGTGTTGTTGTGTTATGTTCAAATATCGTTACATGTCTATGTGCAAAATAAGAACGCCTGTCTATAAATAATGACATAAAAATCATGTTCAAATTGCTTCTAGCGCTACCAAAATTGTACACGCATACTTTTGTAGGAGCCTGATAGCTTATAGCGATGCGAAAATCTGTGGGTAACCGCATATTTAACCGTCGAAACCGCAAGGGGGAACACTGAAAATGAAACGTGTCCCTTGCAATTAGGATAATCAATTTCTGTACACCTTTCTCAAAAATTCCCATACACCCAGGTGACAACGAAGAATTGGGAATCAAATTCCGCTGAACCAGAAATCTGCACCTCAAAGAGCCAGCCAGCGACGTCGCTGAGAGGAGCACGCATGCAGTCATTCCGGTTTTAGCTCAGCCACCCACCTCTCTTGGATTGCGGAGCTAGCCGGCATTTCGGATCCAGGCGTTGTGCGATACTTATCATCTCCGATAGGACTTAAGGAGGACGGACTGTAAAGCTGTAGAGTATACTGCACTGCGTTTGCTCCTTGCTGCTGCTCTTGGCTGACCCAGGACTTCGAAAAATCCCTAGTATGGTCCACGCTGCCTACAAATGGGAGAGGTAGCCATACCTCCTGCCTACACACGGACGAGAGAGGTGAACACACCCATTGCATTTATCACACACCCACATGTCGGTTATGAAACCTCATCAACCACACGCCTCTATCGGCGACCACGTCATCAGGAGGCAATGATGAGAAATGTTCTCCCGTGCCCTTCTCACATTTAACGACATGAAATTCCACAACATAACATATATGAGACACACAAGACAGCTACCAAACTGATTTGTTGAGCCTGTTACCCACAGGGGAGATGTCCCTATATGCTGTCTGGGAAATCGTAGANTCGTCTGCACCTTCCCAACATAACATATATGAGACACACAAGACAGCTACCAAACTGATTTGTTGAGCCTGTTACCCACAGGGGAGATGTCCCAAAATGCTGTCTGGGAAATCGTAGACACACAGGTAGTTTTCACTGACGCTATGATTCCAATGTGAACCTGTCTCTGACTCTTTTCTATGATAGAGATGAACTCGTTGTGTCATATTAAGGAAAAAGAAGAAAACTGTTTAGAGGGATCGTGTGTGGAGTATGTGCGCACGAGAAAAAGAATAATTTTCATGCACAGGGGCGTGAAAATT